TAAGGCATTTGACTGCTAACCAAAAGGCTGGTGGTTCAAACCCACCAGCCACTCCTCGGAAGGAAGGTTGGGCAATCTACTTCCATAGAGATACTGCCTCAGAAACCCAAAGATGGGTTGCTATGAGTCGGATCTGACTCCACAGCAGTGCATTTGGTTGCTTTGGTGGTTGGAGCAGCCACACCATGGAAACTGGCAAACACCGTAAGTCAGGACTTCTTTGTGTTTTGGAGGGTCAGTTTGCCACTGACCCTATCTGTCCCTAACCAAGCATCCCCCACCCACCCCCAAGGGTAACCGCTCTCCTGACTTCTAACACTCCAGATATTTTTGCCAGTTTTAGAGCTTCATGCAAATGGGCTCCACAGATGTGAGCAAGTGTGTGGCTTTTCTTACTCAACTCTGTGTTGTGAGTGTGGTCCAAGTGGTTACAGAGGATTAGTTCCTACAGTCTCCTTGGCGCATAAACCCCCATTGTTGCCTGATCCACAACTGATTTATAAGCTCTATCAACAATGGCAATTTGTATTGGTTGAGTTTTGTCTGTCAGAAAGAGCTGGAATGCAGTATTTGTACACGTAATTTTTTAAAACCTGAAAGTTCTTTTGTTATGTACTTCTACAAATATCTTACAGTAACATTTGAATACAATGATGATGACATTACTATCTTTTGTATTTATTGATAAATTGAACATATTTTTAAATCCACCAGTGAACATCATAAGTATTTATTGAATAATTGGGTTACTATCAGGCTTAGTCTGTTTCTAATTTAAAAACTTTAAAAAACCCTGAACTCTTAGAAGCTCTACCTCCCTCACCAACTGTGGGAGTCCACTGTGTCAGAGGGATGCTGTGCTCCATAGGGCTTCAATGGCTGATTTTGCAAAACTAGATCACCAGGCCTTTCTTCAAAGGCACCTTGGTATAGACTTGAACCTCCAACCTTTCAGTTAGCAGCTGAGCATGCCAATCTTGCAGGAAAATAGTGACCAGATGCCATCTTGATCAAGTTATTAAATACTCATTTTTTTCTAAGTTTTGGGCTTCTGTGCAGAGCAAGAAATGATTTTTCTATGATAAATGTTCACATGTAATCATACAATATTACCAGAAGCCACCTAATCTGTTCCATCAAGTGTTTAGGCCATTGTCCTATTCCTGCCCTTCTCCTCTCACCCTTGAAAAGAGAAGTGGTGTTAAAGCGACGCAGAACTGTACTGGAAACAGCCCCTATCTGTGGAGTAAACCCAGATACTACCCAGAAAAAGGAATTGTTGCTGGGGTGGGAATGTTGCCGTATTTGAAGCCTGGTCAGGAGACTCATGAAAAGTTCAAAAAGTTTAGTATAGATTCCATGTTCTTTATGCAGCAGTGAGCAGAGAGAGTTTGGGGTCTGCAGCCCACAGGGTGAGTCAGGATCGTGCCAGGTTTAGAACAAAGGGAACAAGCAGTCAATTCCAGGAGGAAGCAACTCCGGGTATGCAGAGGTCTGAGCCCGGCTTTGCTCTTGGCCAGCTGCGTGATTGTGCACAAGCCACCTCACCTCTTCTGGCCTCAGACTTGTTGACCTACATGAGCAGTCATGCCACATTCAAAGCAAGTAATGCTGTGATCACTCAGTTCTGGGTGTGCTCAGGCCGGAAGGGACCCCCTTCCTCTCCAATGCCAGGTGCACAAGTCCACAGGGGAAAGCAGGGCTCCAGCCAACAGCTGGAACGTGTCAGTGTGGGTAATTTGGTCTCTTTCCCTTCAATTTTGTTTGTTTCTAGGATTCCTTTAACTGTGGTGAATAAATACTAACTGTCTTGTTGCCTTTTCCTCCTTTGATCCCAAAGATTTTGATCTAATTTCAACCTTGATTATACAACCAAGTCTTTATAAAAATATCAGATGACCTTTTGTACGAAATTGTATGATTAAACCAAAGTCTGCGAAATCCCTTCACCTGAGACCATCTTTAATTTATCTGTTTTCTTGACTGCCTCATGCTACTCATCAAAGTGAGGCATTGACGGTAGAGAGAACTCAGGGGACGTGAAGATACTCTCCCTGGAGACAAGTGTAGCTTTCTGATGTGGGAGGTGTTGCTGAGTTTCTAGACATATTCAGGACATACATGACGTGGAACACATCCACCTTTAGTCCTGATGGCACTGGAAGAAACACAGATCAAAATATAGCCGATGATTGCCAAGGAATCACTGTACTTTTAAAATTGAAAGTATGGCCCAAACTCAGCTTCTAAGATACAAAATAAGAAAGATGAATCAAGTGTGAATTTGGGAGAGAAAGATGTAAAGATACAAAAGGCTGTAAAGCTGAATGAGGGGGAAGTATGAACATATAGTGGGCAGTGTTGATTCAGCCTGCCCTGTGCTGTGGGACAACTTTGCAGAAACAGTGGATACTCTCGGCAGAGGGCTTAGTTTGGCACTAACTACTTGGCTGATTCGATTCTTGTCTCCATTACTCCGTTTCTCAAACTCCAGTGTTTCATCTGTAAAATGGGAGTGATAATATTGACCTTGCAGAGGATTAAAACAAATATATGCAACATATTTAGCACATGTCTGGCACATTTTGAATAAGTTACCTAACAGCTTTTTAAATTAGGTTTCATAGGCTAGAATAGCCTCTATTAAGCTGGGACAATCTTAAAGTTATGTATACCACTCAATTCAATGTGATAACTATTTCTTAGTGCTTATTATGTACCATGTATCTGATGATAAAAACTCATAGAATGGAGCTGACATTTCCATCTTGGAAATACACAGTATCCATAATCAGAAAGGCAGGAGAAAAATCGCTTCATTTGAGAGGGAGAGGTCCTGGGCAAGATCAACACAAAGTCTCCTGATACCTCCAGAGCAGATGAATGGGGGATGCCAAAGGAGCTGTCCTGAGGGAAGTTGCTTGATCACTTTGCTTCTGTGTCAGAAGAAAGGGCTACTGATCTACTTCTGAGACATTAGCCACTGAAGTCCCTATGCAACCAGTTCTACTCTGATGCAAGGGTCACTGCCAGAGTTGACTTGTCAGACACAGTTTTGTGTACGACCTCTGGTTCTACCCTCTGAAGAGAGGGAGTTGAACCAGATGACTTCTAAACCTCCACCATCTTCCAAGGTCTATTATCTTTTGAAAGATATTGATGACCTACTAAAATGACTCACATCATGTAAGTTGCGTATGGAATGAATCAAAAGATTCAACTTGCTGGACATATCCTCAGTCACACAACAGTGAGGGAAGAGTAGGGACAACAGACTTAGCAGAATTGGGCCCTTTCTTGACTATGGGGAACAGTCACCTTTGACCCAAATGATCTTACCCAAATAAAGGAAATTCTACCACTACATGAAAATAGACTTCCACCTTTATCAGTGTCAATACTGATGTCAATATCTGTATGCCAGGGTGGAGATGATTATAGTTTTCTAGGTTTTAGTACCATCTTGGGTAATTATATATGACAATATCTTGGATATTTAAAATGAGAATTGTTTGTTTACTGATTTTCCTCTAATTGCCTTTTCTCTGTTTCTGGTTTTAGCTTGCTATCAGTTCCACAATGGAATCCCTGGTTGCAGCAAACACCAAATTTTGCTTTGACTTTTTTCAAGAGATAAGCAAACAAAATTCTCATAGAAACATCTTTTTCTGTCCTCTGAGCCTCTCGGCTGCCCTTGGCATGGTCCGCCTGGGAGCTCGACATGACAGTGCTCATCAGATCGATAAGGTGAATACCTGCCAAGGTGCCTCACTCAACCTGGATTTGGGTCCACATCCAAAGGAAGACCCTGGTTCCATCTGCAAGCACACTGCTTTCACATCCTGGGCTGGCTCCAGCCTGCTCTGCCTTGAACTTCCTTGTATTCCTCACCTGGAGGTCCTGCTCTCTCTTCAGGTCTATCATTGGCCAAGATGCCCTTCACCTCCATCTCCTGTATAACGCCTCCCCAACCTCACCAGCTCCTGCCATTCATTTCCTGTCTCTAGCTCTGTGTGTCTGCTTATCTGTGTCTCTTGTTCTCTAATTACTGACACCAACATTGCTAGTATTTTAAGTTATGTATATATGTTTCCTGTCTTACTTCTCCCACAAAATAAATACTCAGCACCAATTCAGCCTCCAGTAACTTTGGCTGAAGACCTTGGCATCATCCTTGATCCTGCTCTTTCTCTCTCATCTGACAACAAATTTTCAGAAAATCCTACTGACTCTTCTTTCAGAATATGTCCAGAACCCAGTCCCTTTTCACAGCCTCCCTATGGGCTGAACCATCACCATCTCTTTTTAGCTGAACCCTGTAAATCAACTAATGGTCTCTCCACTTCCACAGACAACAAAGCTGCTGGAGAGGTCCTTTAACCCTGGTCAGATCCCATCTCTTGTAGCTCAAAACGCTTCTGGGACTTCCCTAACAGTAGAAGGCTTACGTCATTCATGAGGTTCCATGAACGTGAATCCCAGACAACCTTGTGGCTCTGTCTCTTATTTCCCGCCCCCCCAACTCTGCACTGAACTCAAGCCACAACAGTCTCCTTGGCTTCTTTAGATAAGCCACACCAATTCCTTTCCTAGGACACTCCCTCTAGCTGTTTTTTTGTGTGGCTAGCTCTTTCCGCAGAGGACTGATTTGCTAGTTCACCTTCTGCAAGACTGGTCAAAGTCTACCTTCTCAATAGGCCTACTATAACCTCCCAATCTAATGCTGCATCCTAGCCATCAATCCCATAAACATCCCGCTTATCCTAGCTACTTTTTTCCTGATACGTCTTTTTTCTTTTTAAAAGAGAAATCTACTAACATACTGAATTTAGTAATTAATCACTATGTGTTTTACTCTTTGTATGCCTCTTCCACTTGGACATAACCTCTTAGAGGGCAGAAATATTTGTCCTAGAACCATGTTTGGCTTATAGGAACCACTCAATAAAGATAGGTAGAATAAATGAATGGAAATAACAAGAAAAATTCCCCAAATAAATTGTATGCTTCTTAGGTCAGTTTTCTATTTCCTTGAATCTAGCATACATCTCACATATGTGGGGCCTATGTATAAATATCTCGGAAGGAAGGTTGGGCAATCCTACTTCCGTAGTGATACTGCCTCGGAAACCCAAGGAGGGGTCGCTATGAGTCGGGGCCGACTCGACAGCAAACAACAACAACAACATGTATAAATATGGCTGTTGTACCCTCAACATGGATGAGCTGGGTTATCAGATTAAGATAGAGTTTGTTTGTGGGTAAATCTGCTTTACTCATTTGCTTTGATTTGATGTACCACTATCTTTCTATTCCTTTAAAAAAACAGCTGTAGAATGTGGTGCCCATTCTCTAGGTCAGGCTTCAAGTGTTTCTCTTTCTGGGCACGTGGATGTCACCTGCCAACAAACCTGGTCTGGTAGTGCAGGATGGGCTACTGTCTCCCATCTTTCTGCAGTGCTCTGGACAACTTGACTTTGCTGTCTTTGCTTCCTTGTTTGATTTGAAGTGCTAGATCAATGCCGTCCAACACACATACAATAATATGAGCCACATGCGTAATTTAAACATTTTAGGAGCCATATTAAAACAGCAAAAAAAAAAAAAAGGTGAAACTAATTTTAATACTATATTTTATCTAACCCAACTGATCCAAAATATTATCATATCAAGAAGCTCTGGTGGCACAGTGGTCAAAGCATTGGGCTCTTAACCAAAAGGTTAGTGGTTTGAACCCACCAGCTGCTCCACAGGAGAAAGATGAGGCCGTCTGCTTCTGGGAAGATTGACAGTGTTGGAAACCCTATGGCACAGTTCTGCTCTGTCCTGTAGGGTTGCTATGAGTTAGAATCAACTTTATGGGAGTGGGTTTGGTTGTTTTGGTTATTATCATGTCAACATCTAATCAATATAAAAGTATCAATGAGATAATTTACATTTCTTTTATTTCATACTCAATATTTAAAATTCAGGGTGTACTTTATTCCTGTTGTTGTTGTGTGCCATCGAGTCAATTCCAGCCTATTTCAATTCAGATTGTCCTCCTTTTAAGTGCTTAGTAGCCACGTGTGGCTCAAGGATAGTGTGTTGGACTGCACAGCCATAGATTCTTTTAGTCTGGATACATTTTCCTTTCACATGCTCCCACGGGAGTGTTGTTGTTGTTGTTATGTGCCGTTGAGTCGAACC